CCCCAAAACCCCAAAACCCCAAAACCCCACAAGGCTGTGAATAATTATCTTTGCTTTAAATCTTTTCTTCGGAAAACGTGTTATGAAGATTACTTTATTTATTATGATATGATTTCTAGCAAAGTTTCATATCAAAAAGCGATGATCCGAAAAATTTCAAGCATATTTATCATGGAATCTTTGATTGAATACTTTAAAATTATCCAAGACTTCTTTCATTCTTTCAGTAGGAGTGACGAGATTGGTGATTCTAAGATGGTACTCACCATCCTTTTGTCCAAACCCACTTCCTGGAACTGTCATGATTCCAGTCTGCTCAACAAGTTCCATACAGTAAAGAAAATCCGGTTAAACACCTTGAGCTTTAGCTGCATCAATAGCCTTTTAGCTCAAGTGAAGTCTAGGCATACCATACATAGCACCTTAGATTTCAGAGCAGCTAACATTTTTCATTTCATTAAAAGACTTTGTAAGTAATTCTGCTCTAGCTCTAAGTCCATCATAGATTTTTTACTTCTCACCTTCATAAAGATCAACAGTCTTATCTGATTCTTGCCCCCTGACTGGTGGATCAATAGATAAGAGAGTAGCTACTTGGCCAACTGTGTTAGAACAAAGCTCGATTGACTTAAGTTTGTATAACTCATTTGATACCTTTTCATCTATGTTATGAGCCTCAAGATAGCCTCCTCTTAACCCACATTCACCTAATAATCCTTTTGAAACTGAGTTCATTGACAACAACTCAACACTGTTTCTAATGTTCTCAGGCTGTTCTGCCAAGATTTTTCTGAAACTATGGAATTTAATGCCCTCCTTGTACACATTATTTTGATAGACCTCATCTGCCATTATCAATATACTGTTTTCATAGCAAATGTGAATAATTTCTTCAATATTCTCTTTAGTCAATACTTATCCTGTAGGATTTCCTGGATTGATTACGACGATTGACCTAATGTTGACTCCTTCCTTTTTAGCATCTGCTATTCTTTATCTCAAATCCTTGGAATCAAGTCCCCAGTTCTTTGTCTCATCGAGATAATAGTTAACTTATCTCCCACCATTAAGAGTGATCAAAGCTGAATATAGAGGATACTAAGGGATTGGGATCATAATACCATCATTAGAACTCCTTATTAAAAGGGTCAAGGCAGTTCTCACTCCCTCAGAGGCTCCATTAGTTATATAAATATTGTTGGGGTTTGCTTCTACATTGTCTCTTTTTCCAATAAAATCAGCCACTCTATCTCTCACGTGATTGTAACCCTTTGAATTTCCAGTATATGCTCCAAGGGGTGTTACTAAAAGTTTGGAGTATTTCTTAGCTCTTTCTCTTGCATCATGGCTTAAGCTTTCTGAATTTTACAGAGGTGGATGCATCAAAGCAGCTAATACCTAGATAAATGATAAGTTATCTGAAGAATTCTACCTCTCTATTGAAAGTGATGTATCCTTGGCCAACTGCTTGTGGATTACCAATATTGAGACTTGTTGTTTTCTCAAATGGGAATTTCTAACCCTTGTTTATAGCGAGCTAGATTTCCTCTCCTCTCATTGGGATTTTACCTCTAACTGCATACTCTGCTTTCTTTACATTCTCAGCGAGTGTCTCATAAGTCAGAGTTTTCTAGAAACCTCGAGAGGCAGTCTGACAAAGCTAAAGAGTCTAGAGAGTCTATGATTAGTGTCTCAATAATTTTGAAAACATAAAGTGGTTGATTCTATTGAAATAATTATTAATTACTAATCAATTGCAAATATATATGGGAAATAAAGTTAAAGGTTGAAATATTAACAATCAAGATAAGATTAAACGAAAAGAAAGATATTGAGGTTAGAACACAGGAAATTAAGATTCAATAATAGCACGGGAAAAGATTTTGTTTAGATGTTAATAAATAAGGCTAGATATCAAGATTCTAAGTACGTCTTCTTAATGCAACTGATCAATCGAGGAGTCCGTTAACAAGTTCGATGTAAGCTGTCTTGGCATCATCTTGAGAGGTTCCCTTCTTTGAGTTCCAGGCATCCCATTTAGCTTTTCCCTTGAAGTCGAGCATTCCTGGTCTATCGGTGTTCACATCACCTACGGTGGCTTGCTTGAAGAGGCCATATACTTCAAGTTTCTTGTCATCAGCCAACTTAAGCATAGCTTCTTAGTTTTCTTGAACTTTCGCAACAACGGCTTGGAATTCGGCTTCGAGATCTGACATTTATAAGGAAAATAGATATTTGTTTATAATTTTAGTAATCTTAAGTATTTATACCAAGTCTCAATATTACTAATGTATACCACCAGCGGGGTTTTGGGGTTTTGGGGTTTTGGGG